TCTGATCCATATAGAAGGATGGGTTTTATAAAAACGTCAAATAAGTGTAAATACAGTTTAGTATTTTGTTCATAGCAAAAAGTGCTTTTCCAACTTTCTTTGCCATATTGGCTGTTGTCTCATTGAAATTACCATTTGAACTGAAAATAATCCCTAAATAAATATACTGTTTATTACATTTAATGCATTGGTTGCCAATATTAAAGAAGTGTCTTGATTGCAGTGGTGATTCATTGAAAATAACAATTTCAGTTTTAGATACGTTTATTTTAAGTTGCCAATTTGAGCAATATTGTTCAAGTTCATTCAAAGCTTGTTGAAATCCATCTGATGTACTGGAAATAAGAACCATGTCATCTGCATATATTAATGAGATTACTGGTGTATTATTCAATGTTCGTGGTTCTGTGTTTGTTTTGTCAAGGCGGTCTTTAAAATCATTAATGAAAATATTAAATAATGTTGGACTAATCACACAGCCTAGTTTCACCCCTTTTGTAACTTCAAAACTCTGGGTAATTAAATTTGATATGTGTTTTAGTATTAGAGTACATATTTTTAATGAGACGGTAAACCCTTCCATTGATATTGTGACGTTAAATGCGGGGGGGGCTTTATGGGGCTACACCGTATTCAGGATCGGGGAGCTTGTCTTTAATGCCGGTCTAATAGTCTTTGTCTTTGGTAGCGTGCTTATCTTATAAGTCTCCTCCCTCTCAGCTCGTCCGCTGTCACGGGGTGGGGATCGTTTGGTGAATGTATATCACCACAACTGAGACTGTGCAGAGAAAGAAATATACCAGTAACAATTATAACAAATCAACACGACACAATATATACGGTTTCCTGTACTTTAATAAACAAATAACAGGGATGCTGGTCACTGGAACCAGCAAGGAAGGGACTACACTGTAAAATAAAATAAATTAGAGACTTGATCGATGCTGCAGGGAACACTCCACTCTCCATTGGACAGAAATGTGCAATGTTGCGTTCCTTCGTATCTGGCACACTGTCGAAGCAGCTGCACTACAATTTAAATAAGTGCTCTGTGTCCAGGGAGTATTCGGCAACTG